GAATTCTTGTCTTTAGCAAAATGTGGAGTACTGATTTGATTTTTATTTTATGCTATGATAGAGGTTTTAGAAATTCCAGGCATTTTATGAGAGGTGCCTGCATGATAGAAATAGCCCAACTAATGTGACACAGTAAATCCCTTCTGTCTAGTCAACTGCAGATCTGAAAAAGGTAGGGAGTGCATTAGGAATTTACTACTTTTTGTATAAATACCCTTTTAAAGAAATTCCATGCCACAGGGTAATAACGCAAAAAAATGCGTAGCTCATGATGTTCAATGCAGCAGCGGACAAGATTTCAGAATGATATATCTGTGTATACCTCTCCCGAGTAGCTATGAAGCAAATATATCAGCGTTTTAGGCAGTATTCGAGAGTAAGGGATCCAGTAGTGCAATTTCTTCTACTTTAATGCTCAGTTCAGGGCTTTGCTGGGCCATTTGTGCAGGATCTCAGGAGGACGAAGCTGGCAAAGCTCTAAGAAACCTCATGGTCTTCACTGTTTCAGAGTGCATGGTGGGGGGCTACATCCTTTTTAATTGGATACAGTTGAGCTTCAGCCCCATCTTTATACTGCTAAGGAGCTGCTTCTCTCTTCAGCTAATGCAGCTTCTTACGAATGTTCTTAAAAATCAGGAGGGGTGGAAAATAAATGCAGCTTGCAGACTGAAGAAATAGAAATAGACTTTAGAAATTAAACCCAAGAAGATAGTATTTTACCACTACAAATGCAAGTAAAATACTTTACCTGTTAAGCTACTCACATCCATTTGCAGTTTGCTTGTATGCCTCGTGAGCAGCTATTTGATTTGCTTGTGGGTGATCCCAGGGCCTTGGCTTGCAGAGGAAAAAATCCTTTTTCACAAAGGTGGAATGCTTTTTATATTTTCAAGAGCTGATCAGTCTTATAACAACATGATGACTTCTCTTGAAGAAGTCTGATTAGCCAGCATATACTGTCATCTTAGAAAATATTATATCTTTGTACTTAATCCTCCTCATCAGTAAGGATTTATGTTTATAAAGTGAGAAAATATTTACTGAGGGAAATTTAGTATTTATACTACTGATCTCTATTTTGATTAAAAAAAAAAGACACAATTCAAGTTGTCCCCAGGCTTATGTGGTATCATAAGGGTGAAGCAGGTTTATTTTTTTACATTGCATGTGACAGATGAACATAATTTGTCTATGCTTGTACCAAACCATACATTTCCCTTTCACTATGTGGGAATGTCTCAATTCTATCAAGCATAAGCAAGATAGGTAGAACATAAAATCCAATTCTTGTATAGCATCCTGGTAAGTATCTTATCACAGGGAGATCATCCACATGTGTAAGAATATGTGTGGATTTAATAAACACTGTCATGTCTAGAAAATATTAATTTTAGTTTTAAAATTAATGTAAAATATGTATATATACATATATGCTCGTGTGTGTGTGTATAATACCTGCATGTTATTTGTTGACAATTACCTTCCACATAAGTTATGAACTAAAAGCTTTTGGCAAAATACGTCACTGTAGTTGAGGTTGAAGTCAAACTGATTAGTTAATAAAGCTTAGTTACAAATCTTTTTTTCTCAAGCATTTGGTATTTTGGCAAACCTAGGCTTGCTGCTGACATCTGCAAGTGTGAGCACTCTATGATGCTTTAAAAGAAACAGAAAATAGAGTCAGTAAGAGCTGCATGTTAGTATGACTGAAGTGTTTGCGGTACCCAAGGCAGCGAAAGGGCTAGCAGCCACTCCAGCACACAGGGACTATAACACAGCAAGTATCCTGGTGTACTTACTGCACAGGTTTCTTTAGTCATAGATCGACCATATCGATGTTTTTATTTCATCCTTTGACTTAGGAGCCCAGGTGCCCTATAGGATTTTTTATGCTTGGGATACACCATAATAATATAGAGGTTGATCAGTAAAATGGACCTTTGTGGTAAACTATGACTATGTTTCCCAGTTAAAGGTAAGGTAGAGGGAAGAAAAAAGCTACTTCATTTTTCTAAAATATTGGAGATTTGCAAATTAATCTGTAGCTGGAGGAGGGTCTATTGTTGTTTTGGGTTTGTTTTTAGTTATGTGAGCTTAGAAAGAATAATTTCTTTGAGTACCAGCTATCACCTTTTCAATGTTATCCTCCAGTAAACCCCTGCTATTCTCTTTATTGGGATGCAGCAGTAGGATGGAAACTGGGATTTCAGTGGTTTTGAGCTGGTGTTGAGCTCTGCAGTCTTCATTTTAGTTAGATAATTTCAGATCTGAGTGACCCAGGGAAGACATGGTAGGATCCCTGCGCTGATGCATCAATGAATGCCATTATAACCTGCTGCACATTGCCAAAATAGTCTGTTTAAATGTTCTGGGTAACTTTACAGGTTTTTTTTCTTCTGATATCTTTTTTTTTAGACTATGTAATACCTCATTTATATAGATAAAAAGGGAAGAGGCACTATCTTATTTGTGAAGCAGTTTTCCTTCATTTTAAAATTTGCCACCTACCCTTCTACATGGTACACCCATCACAGAACATAGTTTCCTAATCCAAGTGATATTTTATCATGCTTTTTCAATACATACTTGGACTGTGATCTGCAACTTCTGATGTTGTGGAGATGATACCTTGCTTAGGAACCAGTAGTTTTTGAGAAGCAAGCCAAAATAAGACTTCATTAAAAAAAAATTGTAACTTAAGCACAGTACTTCGTATTTTTTAATAAAAAATGTGCTTTGAGAATATTCTTCGCAATTTTACTTGTGAAGATTGGATTTGTTTGATATTCTTTGGTCAGAATAGCTGTGTTTTTAATAACAAGTAGATAAATACTTATCGCTTTTGGGTTAAGATAATGAGGAAATTAAATCTTCCTCTGTAGACGTTATTTTGTATTTAAAATAACTGCCTCCATAGCTTATATATATTTTTTTTTTTTAATTTGCCCATTTAATTTCAGTAAAACACACAAGTGAATCTGTGAGATTGGAAGAGCTGATATACCACCTCCAAGACTGGAAAGACCGAAGCTCAGCAGGGCTTTTTTCTTTCCCCATCTTTAATGGACAGATGCAGTGACAGGCTAGGAGGGGGACATAGGAATCTTAAAACTTCTTCCCTACAAGTGGGCTGAGACCTTCTCAAGCTCCTGCAGAGCAGGAGAGATCAGCCAGTGTTACAGCCCATTGGAGCCAAATGTGATGTCCCTCATCACTAACCCAAGTGCCCCTTGGGACAACAGTGGCAGTCCAAAAAGCATCTTGATTTTTGCCTGAGAGGCAGCAGGAGATGCTGCTCCCCTGTCTCAAGCATCTCCTACCAAAGCTGCTTTCGCAGCCTTCGTGTGGTGGGCTGGAGACTGGGCTTCAGTTCTTTGTAGTTTGTCCTACGACAAACACTTCTATTTGCTGCTTAAACTGCAGTGCCATCGGGGCAGTCCGACAGGACTGGCTGCTCTATGCTTTATACCCACCACCTTTTCTGCTTTAGAGCCACCTCTTCTAACCAAGCTGCTGACACATCTGTGGTTATTTGGGGTCTAAAACCTTTCTAACTTCAACCCAATTGCTATCTGATTATCTTAATTTTATCTCACTGGCCATCTGGCTGATTTGAAAAGCAAAAAAGGCTAATCCTGCACTGTCATGATTTAGGAGAAGAGCAGGGAATTCACTAGGATGTGGCGGGGGGGGGGTGTCTTTAATGAGGTTTGACAACATTTCTGTTCACAGTCAGCATATCAAAATTTACCCTTAAACCACTTGTTTGTACTTTCTTCGTTATGAAATACTGGAAAATCAAAGGTGTTTTCTTCAGGTTTTGAGTATCCCTTGTATACTCTGCCTTCAGTTATGAGGATTGCTGGCACGTAGTTTTGAGAAAGAAATCTTCAGTTGATTTTCATTGTGTCAAGAGAAAAAAAAAATGAAGGTCAGGTCTATTTGTAAACTTCATCCATTTCAGCTAGGAAATTAAATAAGTTTTGACAGTGATACTGATATTATTTCTCCTCAGCACAGAAGTGTGTGTGGTAATTTATGCTTTATCGCTTGTGATGATAGGTTCCTCACTGGCTTTTCTTTTTTTATTTTTAATAGTTTTGCGGGCTTTATTTTTGCTCAAACATAATTAGCATTAGACTGTACAGAGAACACTATTTATTCTTGGTCTGTTTGCTCTTCCATGCTCTCAGGTTTGACGTTTCGAATGTATTCGTTTATGAATAGAATCAATCAAATAAATAAAGGGCAACAACTTCTATCTGTTCAGATCTGCCATGGCAGAGACGGTTTCAAAATTTATCTAAGAACCTATCTTTCTTATTGAGCTACTGTAGCAAAATACAGAATGGCCTTGTGTTTGCCTTGTTTTAAAAAGCCCTGCATGCATTCAGCAACTGATTGTATTTCAGATTCCAAAGTACGGATTGTTGCTTTTCATTTCTCTGATAAAAAGCAAAATAATATCACAGAGCCTCTCAGTTCTTGAAATGGATAAACATTTCTCATAAAAATCCAGCAGCTGATTTTCAATTAATTGTAATAAATTAACCATGGCAAAGCAATGGTAATTCTCATGAAAATTTGATTTGGATCTGCTGAAAGCAGATGCGTGTTACTTACTGCAAACCACCACAATGACAGCAGCATATGTCTCAGAAATCTATCAAGGTAGTTATTTTATATTATGGTTTTCAGACACCTGCGGTATGTCCCTGAAATGTGCTTCTCTTGTGCTACTGCAACTGGTAGCAGCAGCACAACAGCCCACTCCTTCCTCATGTGGGCTTTCTCCCTGCACCTTAGTCTTTCCCCCCATACAAACAAAAAGTGCTCTCAACAACAAAACCCACACTTGAAATAGGTTGCATTTGGTGAAGGTAGAGCTGACTGAATGGAAACCCAGGCTTTTCATCCATTGGAGGGTGGTGACCAATGCAAAAAATGTTCACATATATGTATATTTAGTACTAAAACCAATATTTCAAATTCTGTTTTAGGACTTCGCCCAAAAAGGACTCTACGCTTGGTACTATGGACGGCAGAAGAGCAAGGAGGCATAGGTGCAGAGCAATACTATCAGTTGCACAAGGTAAATGATGTTTTCAGATGATTTGCTTGACAGCACTTTTCTCCCTAGTTTTGTGGCTTGCATAATCTTTTTGTCAAAACATTCAGCTTAATATCTAACCAAAAATAGGGACTCCAATTCTGCCTGAAAATATATTGTCTGGTTTTAATCATCAATGTAAGCTTCATTTTATATTTAATAGAAAGTGGTGCAACCACACATATATGTGTTCCGCTTGACCTAAGATATTCTGCCATGAAACTGTTCCGAAATAGGTATTTCACGATGGTGTCTGCCATAGCTTTCAAACAATGCTAACTTTCTGAGAATGAATGACAAATGGTCCACAGATGTTGTCAATATAAATAAATTTTTTTTGCCTTATATATTTCTGCTTCATTGCACTTGGCAATAATATTTTACATTGTAAAACATAAAATACTACAAAGAAAAATCTTTGCTATCTTATCTTAATAGTGTGTAATCTAAAATACTCTTTGCCAATTATTAGTTTTATGGGATCTGGAACATTTTAAAATGTTGATTTCTGAAGATGTAAGGAACACACAAACTCTATGACTGGTTATAAAGATAAAAATACTGTCTATTTTCACATCTGTCTCTCCTGCCAGCAACGGCCTTTTCAAAGTACATCATGACATAAAGGCCAGTTGCCTAAAACTATTTTGGAGATACATCTTGGGAATATGTGTGTGGGTTTTTCCCCCCCAAAATTATGCTGTACCTGTATAACTAAGCTATAGTAGTTATCTTTTATTCTTTTCCCTAATTTAGTAGTATTACTCTCAGCAATGGTTAATATATCCAAGGCATAGACAAGATGAATGCAAATGTGTTTAGGAAGTTACCTGCTGTACAATAGTATGAAAACAGACCTACAAGCAATTCACAGAATCATAGAATTATAGAATCTTTGGGGAAGGGTAGGTAGGAAGGAACCTGTACAGTTCATCTAGTCCAACTCCCTGCAATGAGCAAGGACATCTTCAACTAGATCAGGTTGCTCAAAGCCCCGTCCAACCTGACCTGGAATGTTGCCAGCGACGGGGCATCTACCACCTTTCTGGGCAACTTGGGCCAGGGTTTCACCACATTCACTGTGAAACATTTATTCCTTAGATCTAGTCTAAATCTACTCCCTTTTACTTTAAAACCATTACCCCTTGTCCTATCGCACAGGCCCTGCTAAAAAGTCTGTCCCCATCTTTCTTATAAGCCCCCTTTAAGTACTGAAAGGCTGCAAGAAGGAATCCCCGGAGCCTTCTCTTCTCCAGGCTCAACAACCCCAACTCTTTCAGACTTTCCTCAGAGGAGAGGGGTTCCATCCCTCATGATAATTTTGGTGGCCCTCCTCTGGACCTGCTCCAATAGGTCCATGTCTTTCCTGTGTTGAGGGCTCCAGGGCTGGATGCAGGACTCCTTGTGGGGTCTCACCAGAGCGCAGTAGAGGGGCAGAATCACTTCCCTCGACCTGCTGTCCATGCTTCTTTGGATGCAGCCCAGGATGCGGTTGGCCTTCTGGGCTGAGAGCACACATTGCTGGCTCAGGTCCAGCTTTTCATCCACCAGTACCCCCAATTCCTTCTTGGCAGGGCTGCTCTCAATCCCTTCATCGCCCAGCCTGTACTGATACCTGGAGTCGCCCTGACCCAGGTGCAGGACCCTGCACTTGGCCTTGTGGAACCTCATGAGGTTCTCGGGCCCATTCCTTGAGCTTGGCCAGGGCCCTCTGGACGGCAGACAGTCCCGCAGGCATGTCAGTTCCACCACTCAGCTTGATGTCATCTGCAAACTTGCTGAGGGTGCACTCAATCCCACTGTCTATGTCATTTATGAAGATATTAAAGAGTACTGGTCCCACTACGGACCCCCGAGGGACGCCACTCGTCACCGATCCCCATCTGGACATTGAGCTGTTGTCCACTATCCTCTGGATGTAATGATCCAACCAATTCCTCCTCCAGCCATCAAATCCATCTCTCTCCAATTTAGAGATGAGGTTGTTGTGGGGGACCATGTCAAAGGCCTTACAGATGTCCAGATAGACGACATCCATAGCTCTTCCCTTGCCCACTCTGTTCTGCTCCCTTGTCCTGAGGGGCAGTTTCCCAGAGGGTCCTATTGACTAACTCCCTGAAGAGCTGGAAATTTGCTTTCCTAAAATTCGGGGTCCTGACTTTACTCTTTGCTTACCCCAGGTTCCTCAGAACTGCAAACTCCAGCAGTGCATGGTCACTGCAGCCCAGGCTCCTCAAATCTTGATGTCACCAATTAGCTCACATGCTTTGGAGACAAACAGGCGCACTATTACATCCCCTCTGGTAGGGCTGTCTATTACCTGGCTTAAGAATTTATCGTCAATTCCTAAGAGTATGTTTTTAATGGTAAGCAAACTATCAGAACAAATAAATGGATATGTCACTTTGTATCAAATTCATTGCGATGAAATCAATTTTGTCTGCAGTAGAGTTGACAGAGATAGCATAACAGTGGTTATGGTTTTCTAGCTAATTGATGAATAGTGAATTATTTTCCACTAACTTGTTTAACGTTACTAAGAAGTGTATTTAACTGTCCATATATAATGCAGTTCCTCCTTATATCTCCAAATTATAGGAACACCTCAGCGCTGTCATTTGGAAGGGGTACCTAAGAGCTTGCTTTCTGAGCTTCAGGGAGGTTACAGGGTGCAGTTTAGTATGTATAAAGGACTCTGGATTTAGCACTGCTACT